ATGTCTTTGTTCTAATGAGGTGACTCCTGTGGGCTCCTAGATGGGGACTGGTCACCAGAAAGACCAAGCCACGATTAAAGGCTTGAAACTTTCAGCCCCATTCTCCATCTTCCAGGAAGAGGAGAGGGGCTAGAGAGTGGAATTAATGACGATCATGCCTATGTGATGAAACCTCCAGAAAAATACCAAACTATAGGGTTTGGGGAGCTTTTAGGGCACTGGTGGGCCCACAGAGGGCATGGGAGTTCCACCCCACATACGTTGCCCTGTGTATGTCTTCCATATGAATGTTTATCTGAATCGTTTATTGTATCCTTTTATAATAAACCAGTGAACTTAAATAGGTGACTTCCTGAATTCTTTGAGCCATTCTAGCAAATCTGCAAACCCTAGGAGAAAGTCATGGAAACCCAGATTTGCAGACGGTCGGTCGAAAATACAGGATACAGCCTGGGACATGTGAATGGCATCTGAAGTTTGGAAGGGTCAGTCTTGGGGACTGAGCCCAAGGTCTCTGGGTAGATAGTGTCAGAATTGAATTAAATTTTAGGACACCTAGCTGGTGTTGAACAGAATCGCTTGGTGTAGGAAAAAACCCATTTATATGGTGTCAGAAGTGTTGAGTGTGGTAGTGTGAGAGCAAAGGGGAGACATGGGAGTGTGTTTTGCCTGCTGTGTTCCTAGACGGGGAGTGATAAGGGCAGCATGACCAGGAAGAAGATACTGCCACAACTTGGCACGAGTTTAGAAAAGGCCGGGCCTGGAGCATAACAAGGGAAATTGGAAAAAGCAGGAAGCAGAGGCAGAGGAAAACTAGTCAGCAGAGCCCGTGATAGAGGGAAGACAAGGAAAGGGGAGTATTTCAGTCCTTCCAGCTTTGTTTCTGGGAAACTGGCAGAGTGTTTTTACCCTTAAAAGCAATTTATTGATCAATTCATCCAGCACACATTAACTGGCACTACTGCATAGGGATTCTCACTCTCATAAAAATGAACAATGTTTACTTCCCCAAGCCTTTCAGTTTACTAGTCTCTGCTATGTGTCAGAAACTACACAGGCTCTGAGTTGGGATAAAAAAGATAGCCTCTACCCTGAACAGATGGGGGAGGAAGGAAAGAAACAGTGGGTAACAAATTAATGCTGCTCCAACAGCAGCACATGTGTGTGTGGTTTTTTAAAATAATAATAAATAGCTATCATTGTTGAGATGGCTAATAGTACAACTACTTAAAGTGCAGCAGGACATATGGTCATTTATCAGACCAACAGTTGCTCTTAACACCGAGTATAATGGAGGAGACCACAGGGCTGTTTCCTTGAGTCCTCAGGAACAGGTATGGGGACTGTTTTCTTCTATTGCTTCCTAGCTGCTGCCTCAAGATTCCCATTTCTCCTAACTCCAAATAGGGTCCGGGCCCCACACAGACACAAAAATCTGGCTAGATCCAATGGTCTTGAGCAGACAAAATAAAGGTAACATGTACAAGTTCTTCTGCTTAAAATGAATAAATCACTGTTTTACATATTTTTAAACAATTCCAGTCTTAAGCATTTCCTTATATAACATACACATTTTCTCTGATCCTATTTTGAGTTGAGCTTAAAAAAATATTACCAAGAATTTAGTTAGAAATTTTTTACTACAATGAAGAAGAAATAGCCTAGGGAATATACCCAATGGAAACCGAAATTATGTCCTGAAGAAAACATTGCAAGACAATAGGATGGTTGTTTGAATAGTAGGGACAGGACTACTGGTATCAGGGGATTTCCATTCACCTTTCTCTAAAAGATTCTAAAAAACACTATCCTATCATTATCTATGCTTTACCCCTGCATTTCTCAATCTTCCCTTCCCAAGAAACCAAGGTGGGTAGAAATCTACTTACAATGACTCAGGTGGGAATCCTTCCCTTTCTCTACCTGAAACTCATTAATAAATCAAAGTTGTCAAGAGTTGCCTCAGATAGTTTCACTCCTTCTCTCTGCTCCTGTGTACTCTGTGCCCCTGGAATTACTCCAAATTCTAAAATGGAAATAAAAGTACTTTCCTCACAAGGTTGTTTGGAGGATTAAGTCAGTGAGCTTGTTTATCTAAAGATGAAGATCCAGTTAATACACATGTTTGAATAGATACAAACTTCAGACTTAAAATATAACTTCTAAAGATCTAAGTGCATAGAGGGAGCACTCTGATAACAAAGGTAGAAATATCTTGCAAAGTAGAAAGCAATCAGAACATAACAAGGAGTATAGGAAAATCAAAACTTTAAATAAAAATCCATATAAAACAAACCCTTGGTACCAACTCCCACGTGTCCTCAGGATTATACAATCACAGCTGCTTCAACTAATACTACTTGTGTTGCCTGGGACAGGGCATCTCACCTCTCTGAGAACATCCCTGAAATTCTCTATCTCAATGTTGTCCTTTAGGCTAAAGACATTTTGGTTAAAGGGATGTTTTAAATATAGTTTAAAACCAACCAAAATTATTTCCTCAACAGTTTCCAAGGTATTCCAATCTGACCCAGATATGTTGGGGTGCACTAAATTACTAATAAAAGACTCACTCCTTGACCCCAAGGAGTTTTTATAATCAAATTAACGAATCAATATTCAAATCATACAAATATTAGCAAATTTACAAGGCATCAAATAAATATTTACCAAATCACTTTGCACTGGTAATAAGAGTCAAGGAGAAATGGGGCAGAGATGGCTTCAGAGGGAATGGAGGACTCCAGGTCAGGGTTGGAGGAACGGAAGAATTTGAATCAACAGAATAAAAGGCATAGAATGAAGAATATGAAACTTGTTATTTCTTTACAAAGACTATATTCTTTCTTTAACTTTAGTCCTGACTTTGCAACCTTGAAAAAGCCACTTATGACCTTTATCTTTCAATGAATCCACAATTACTGAGGATCTACTATATATAAAGTAGTGTACATCAGTTAAACAACGGAGATTTTCTAAGTTAAGACAGGGGTGGGGGAAGGGCTTTAAAATTAAAGAAGAGACAGCTCAAAACTAAAAATAACCCCAAGCTCACATTATGTTGGTTATAAAACAAACGAAATCTGTCTCTTAAAGAGACTTTTTAAAAACTTGCTGTTGCTATTTCACCGTTAATCAAACAAATGTGGCATGAAACCTACATTAAACCCATGTGTAATTCTTACTTAGATCAGTCAGAGTGTGGGGGAAAAATATTTTTACATGAAAATTTTAAAACCTTGCTCCATCCTTCTCCTATTTGAAAGTGTCTTTTGCCACTAAAAACAGTACTTTACATTCAACAGCTGTAGAAATAGCCTAAGCCATTTAATAGCTCGTTTATGATACAGCATAGAATTTGTCTAGTAAAAACACAACACATGCATGGGTACTTCCTTTTGTTCTGTGTATTCTAAATCTGTGCCAAACGCAGAGGAAAGAAAGTACAGATGGACAGGATATCCTCAAATTATTTGGTTTGCCTTATGTCACTCCAGAGAGAAATCTAATGCCTGATTCACAGTTAGAAATTCAAATTAAGGAGAAACAGCTAGGGTAGGCAGTCCTGGGTCTCAAAGGCAAGCCTTCCTCATCAGCAGTTCACACAGCAAGCCTGGAAGGTATGAAGGTTTGCCTAAAGGGAAATGGGGAAACCCTGGCTTTCTAGGAGTCACCCACCTCATTCAATATAGCTGCTGGCTTAGGTGACGGTGATTAAGGATAAAAGCATGCATGCCATTTCTTAAGAACACTAATAGGAACCAAGTGTACCTCAAATCTATTTTCATAAAATTACAACTGATTGAGGAGGGAGAGCGGGAGTGGAGGTATAAATTGGGGGTTCAGGACTTGCAGATACTAACCATTATATATAAAATAAACAACAAGGTCCTACTGTATTGCATAGGGAACTATACTCAACACCTTGTAATGGCCTATAATAAAAAAGAATGTAAAAAGGAATGAATATATATATATACCTGAATCACTAAGCTGTACACCAGAAACAAACACATTGTAAATTGACTAAAAAAAAAATTACAAGTGACTGAATTTAGAGTTGTGGTGGCATTTGAATATTCTTATCCATTTGGACACAATTCTTAATGCATATACACTACATATGTATATTAAGTCATTGCACATCCAACACACTTTGGCAAATACCACAGAGGATCTAGCAGTATGTGCTGGTACTATGCTTAGTACTGAGAGTACACTAGCTTTTTTTGTGATGCCAAACCACATCATCACTATAAGTCTGATTTTCATCTATGTAAATAATACTATGATATATGCATGGCTATGGTGAAGATTTAAAGAGCCAATGAAAAAAAGTCCTTAGCACAGTGGTGCCTTCATTTAAATTGTAGCTTTCCTTTTCTCTTTTTACTGTTGCAGTGGTAAACTAGACACACAGCCCTGTAATCTTGAAGCTCACAGTCTAATACAAGATAGAGACAATGACCAGATATAATTACGATGATGATGATGATAAGAAGGATACTGATACTACTACTAATAGCAGCTAATACTTATTTAGAACCTACTAGGACCAAAGCACTATTCCAACCACGTAGTCTCATTAACCAATCCTTATAACAGCTATCTGAAGTAAGTGACTGGGGCCATGGCATCTGATATGCAAATATATGGGAGTGACCCTGTAAACTTCATTCATGAGTGGCTGGAGAAGTACCTTCTTGGGATTAACAATATTAATTAGGTGAAATGACACAGGGTTGTGGGGTTGGGATTGTAAAAGAAGTTCCAAGCAAAAGGAATGATCATGTATGAATTCACATGGATGATCAAAGAACTGGAAGAAGTTCAGTCCAGGCAACCCCTAGATGAGGCTGTGAGCAATCTATAAATCCACATGCTAGGGAAAGTAGCTACTGGATGGATAGAAAAAGAGAGGTGTTCTTAGGAAAGGCAGAGTTTCCCAAGAAACTCTGGGACGGGAGTTGCCTGGTTGGTGATGTGCCAGAAAAGCCCACCTGTTAGCAGCAGCCTGTACTGGGGGATCCTCTGAACCGGTTTGAGCAGGTAGTGCTTGAGGGCCAGGTTAGCACAGCGGGGGCTCATCTGAAAGGCAAAGGCATCCAAAGTAAACACAGCCATTTTCCTAAGGAGCAAGAGACCCAGAATCGAAAGCTTAGGAAGCCAAATTAAATAGCTAGTAACTCTGGAGGGGAATTCATGGAGAAGCTCCTTTTGTTTTAAGCACAGCTCCTATGCTGAGTGGGAAACTACAGCAGGTTCACCACTTAGCTCACTCTCTCCTGTTAGGTAGGTCTCTGAAATCACTGACTCATGGGGAAAGCTTGTTCACAGCCCTCTGGTCAGCAGTGGTGGCTGCAGTCTGCATTCTAGGCCAATCAGAGCCCACCCTCCACAGTCGCTGCCACTTAGAAGAACATCTGCCACTGTATTCGTGAACACAAACCAATCCATCCAACCAACCAACCGAGAAGGAAATGCATGACCCCCCAAAAAGGTGGCAGAAATAAAACTACTGGGAATTGGATTCAAATAATCATCAGAGCCTATCATCAACACATTGATAATAACAGCAGGTGGTAGTGGGGAAAACTGCAGAAATTAAAGACAACCTGAAAAGGGGGCAAGGGTATAGCTCAGTGGTATAGTGTGTGCTTAGCATCACGAGGTCCTGGGTTCAATCCCCAGTGCCTCCATTAAAAAAAAAAAATTAAATAAACCTAATTACCTACCTCAGTTAAAAAAAGAGGGAAAAAAAAAAGACAACCTGAAAAGCAGACTTATATGCCAGAAGAATGTAAACTTCTTTCTCAAATGAATGGCTACAAAAGACAGCCCCCCAATCACACCGTACATAGGAACATTTGATTCTGGAACCCTTCCTACTTGACCACTAGGATATTTGATTCTGCCCTTAAAGCTCTTTTCCTTAATATGCACAACAGATACTTGTGCCCATTCCTGAGCCTCACCTCCAATCTCACACACAAGTATTTACTGTGAGGCGGCATCAAAATGGCCCAGTGAAAATGTCCCTGTATCCTAAGATGTCCCCAGAGTCTTACACAGTTCAGGTGGGAGGGGAAGAGTTTTTTCAAAGCTGCTGAGATGGTTTTATTTTTTTCTAAAATAGGTATCTCCAGGTTCTGGTATTCAGAATAATTACGAAATTACAATGATAATGCACATTAAGAAAGCATCTATCACGTAAGCATCATTAACCAAGACAGCTAACTTTTCCCAGTCTTATGTTTTCTTTTGCTGCCAAGGCAATAGAACAACTCACTGGACACTGATGAAAACCTTGGTCAATTATCAGTAGCCACAGCTATATATAATCACACTTCCCTTCTTAACAGCATGACTTCAGAAGAAAGGAAAAGAAGGAGGAAGAAAAGACTACAAATGATTTTAAAGTTTGGTTATTTGTCTACTGTACAAATTAGAAATCAGCAGTATCTTAACATTTCCAAAGTTTTCTAATTTGGCATGATTGGAATTCACTGATGTTTTTAGTTTCAAAACAGAGAAATGGTAGCAAAGATACCTCAAATTCTCTAACAACAGCAGAAAAACCTGGGTTTTTCTTGCACTGCTCATCCAGCAAAGCTATATTCTTATCAAATTCTTTGATGTATGTGGAATACATTTTTAGATACGGTCCCTTCTTTACAAAGATATCAGCAATTCTTTGTTGTTCAGTCCTGAGGATAGAGAGACAAAAATATTAAAAGAGTCAGTATCCAAAATAAATCCAGAGATGAACAGAGTCCATCTCCAAGCTATCAGCTTATCTTCATTTCCTCTTCTTCTAAGACACATCCCAAATGCCCACTCATCACCATTTCCTTTGCCACCATCACAGCCTGCCTGGACTCTGCCAGCCCTCTGACTGCTCCCCGTTTCCAACCATCTCATTCTTCTTTACAGCCAGAGTCTTAAGCCAATTCAGATGAAATTTTAGGATAATTTTTTATAAGAAGAATGAGGAAGTATGTACAAGAAGACTACCTCTAATTACATTTTATTTCTATCATGACTTTAAAATTAGAGCTTTTAGTCATTCCTCAGTCCTTAAACTCTGTGTTATTTTATACTTAGGCTGCAGCTAAGAATTAATCACTATTTAGCATATTTTCCTAACATGTAGAAGCAAGATATTTCTAAAACAGGCAGAGGTATTTTCCCAGATTGCACATGAGGAAACCTTAGAGGTAAATATTTATCATTAAAGTAGGTGATATCGTTTTGTTATTCTAATAATTTTGAGTTCCCCATAGACTTCAACAATAAATTCAGTCTCCTACAACCAAACTTTCTACACATTTCCAAAGATGTCACCAAAGTTTCTGTTACTGTCTGAAGCCCAATGGAACTAGTTAATTCTTTTCCTTTTCTGAAATCTATAGCATTTATAAAGATATCATGTATATGGAAATTTCCTAAATCAAACAAATCTTCCTATTAACTCAGTGAATGGCCTCCTTTCCAAAACGCAGAGTTTCATGACTTGAAGCCCCAAAAAGACAGAGGAGACATTTGAAAATGTTCCCAATGTGAAAATATCAACTAAACTTCTCTCCTAACCTCAAAAATCTTGATTACCAAAGGCCACAAAGAAAGCTAAATTAGTTGAATACAGGCCCTTCTTGCTTTTGAAGCAACATTATCAAAGAATTTAAAAATTCATAGTATTGAGCTCAGTGCACCAGTGAATTTTGGCCATGTGTAATTCAATCTACAGGTAACTGCTAAGAAAATTCAACATAATGAAAAACTCAATGTAAGGAACACTTCTCTGTCACATGCAGGACCCTCATAGCTTCATCTAAAATTGGAAACTCTAGGAAAGCTGGTTAGTTCATTTTTACCAGTTTAACATTCTTTCCTCCAGTTCCTTCAGGAGATCCCGATTGAGCTCATACAGCTGAGGCAAGTAGTACAGGATTTGATTTAGGATCCGGTCCTCAATCACTGGTTTCCCAAGTTGCCTGGAAGCATGTGCTACTGCATCCCGGAAATCCTATTACAGGCCAGAGGAGAAATAGACATACACACATAACTTGATAAAAAGATTTTTCCCCAGTCACTCTTTTCCCCAAAACAATATAAACTCCCAATACCCACTTCCTCCTACCCAACTTACTTATTACTTTGATAGGAAATTAAATTTAAAACAGATTGTGTGATATTTCTCTTAAATAGTTTGATCTCCAAACTTAGCAATTATATACTAAGGGATTATCTGGAAATTGCATTGCAAATCTAAGTAGCCCTTATAATTATCCCAATACTGCTATATGAACAAAATTCATTTATTTTAAAAGTTCCCAGCAGATCTTAACTTAATTTTATTTTGGAAGTGTCTCTTTGTCATGTGGAGCATGGTACATTCTTGATAATCTGAGAATACTGGATCCAAGCTCTTGCTCCTAATTTACTGTGTTTCCTTCAGCTAGATTTTCCTCATCTGTTAAGTGGGTTTTGAGACTTTAATTAGATACTGCACATAAAGCCTCTTGCAATGTATTTGGCACACAGGATCAACATAACGTTTTAACTCTGGACCTTAAACTCTCCCCTCCCTCTATCTAGCCTTCCCATAAATTCACCAGAATTTATACTTCTTACAAAAAAAAAAAACATTTCTCATCACATATTCTTATCACTGACTTTTCTCTATAAGACTGTTTATACCAAAAAAAAAAAGACTGTTTATACCATGTTTTAAGACAGGTCCATCCCACCCCACCCTATCACTCCCGAGGACTTGGAAAGGGTGGGACTGGAGATGGTATTTGTCTGGATTTCACTGTATCTTGAGGTCTACCCTTGGGGGATAAGTAAAACAATAGTGGAATCTATTCCACAGGCCTGAGGATTCAAAAACAAAGATTGTTCCTTCTTAGAAGCAGGAGGTTTAATTAAATCCTTAAAGCAAAGATTGGGTAAAACAGACTCTTTACTAGGCTTTCCCTTCTTTCTCCTTTCTGTCAAACTGCTTTCCATTCGGGAGTTTACCGGTCAGATCAAGTAAATAAAAAAAGATCCTGATTTCTCCCTTGATCTATTCAACACCTGCCCCCGAAATACATATATTAACCATTAGTATTTCTTATGCTTTCTGTGAAGAACAACCACCTAATACATAATTTAAAAGTACACAAAAAGATTCCTTTTCTAAAGTGTATTTTAGACAAATCAACTCTTCTTGTGCTCAACAAGGGCTAATACATCCTGCCCTTAGACCTCAGGACCCGGGACTGACTATATCAGCACCAAACAGTCACACCAGCCCAAAGGAACCAACTACTTACACCAGTAACTAAAGAACAACTTTTACAACTAATTACCGTAATATAAAATAAGAATTTATTGCTTGTATAAACTCCAATCCAGAAAACCACACAACACAGCTCCGGAAACCAAATGGACTTGGGCCAAATTCCAGCTCCCAACAGCTTGTTTCTATCAGTACTCACATTTATAGTGCTAACTTAACACTCGAAAATCATTAGATTTTTCATCAAGCAGAACTACACAGAATATATTTACATACCACAAATAACATTCTCAATTGTAAATGTATTCGAAGCACAGCAGTTAAACATCATCTATAGCATTTTTTAAATTATACCAGTTTAATGATTAAATAATTTAGCTGCAAGAGTTCTTTGTCCAGCAAAACAATTAGCATGCCCTTTCTTTGGGTAGAATAAATAATGAACATGTTTGTCCCTTGGCAGCAGGATGACTTTTGTTTTCCAGTTGGAAGGCATTTCCTCAGCCAGGACAGTGACAGTAGACATTAGCTGCTAAGTAGCTTAAGGACCCTGTCTGACACAGCTTTTGCCAGACTCTGAATTCCATATGTCTGCTACCATTGCCAAAAAGGAAACTTGTTTATTTAAGACACATTCAATAGAGACCAGCCAAATCCACACTGTGCTGACCAGTGTGATGGCCACCTCTAATTGAAGTGCCCTGTCACATACTAGGCAAGACTTCATTTCTTCCCAGTACTACTGGATGGTGTAGGCGGCTCTGGATGATGAATGGCCCATGATGCCTTTTTCAAAATTATAAGTAGCATGTCAGAATAAAAGAGAAATTTAATAATTGTAAGAGCAGAAGAGGAACGTTTAAGACTATAGGAATTTAGAGTTTATACCTGGCTATCAAATATTATTCCTAAAACCTAGAAAGTTACATATTCTAAGCAATCACTACTGGAGCCATCAATAGGCTTCATGGTAGCTTTTGAAAATAGAAAACAGCACCCCTTCCTCCAGGCCAATGCAACTCAGACCAAGGGCCTTACCCACAACTCACAGCCTCCTTAACTGCACAGGGCAGCCCTGGCCCCTGTTTCATTCCCTCACCTCACAGGCAACCACCCCCTGAAAAGCAATGTGTAATGGCCCCAGAGCCAGATGTAATTAATCCACAAGGGAACTACGTACAGAATCTCTAACGTCTCAGCTCTTCCTGAACCTCGACCATTTCTAGAACTGGTGCCACTGGAAGGAGGAAACATCGTTTTGTTTTTGCTTTTGTTTTTAAATAAAAAGGTCGATTACAACACATCTGGTTATTTTTCTAAATGCTAACAGCCAGGATAACTTGGGAAAGTGTGATGACACTTAAGAGCCAGAGGCAAAACTATTTTTGGGCAGAATAATCTAAATTCACCAACACCTCCTTGACTAAATCAGTGAGGATGTAGGACCACAGGACTGGTACTTTCAGTTAGATCCAGAGTATGCTTTTTCACACTGAAAAAGCTGGGTATTTAAAATAAAATGGGTGAGAGGAGCTAGAGTATAAAAATACTAGGTGAGTAAGAGAGTTTTTTGATATCAACCACATATACTTCAGTCTATTCTTCTAACATAAAGCAACCAACGATTCTGTAGGCAAAACCGAACCACCTACACTCTAGCTTCTGATCACAATAATCAAATGCTTGTTCTATTCGGCCTTTTGAGAAACAGAAATGGGTTACTGGATTATAAAGTAGGTCATAATATTATTCTTAAAAATTCCAAGAGAACCTACAAATAAGAACCAGATCAACTTAAAAAAAAAAACCACTCAGTGCCTTTGAGGTATTAACATAGCCTCACCAGCTCTGATCACTTGGGCAAGACTAAGCAAAAATTAATGCAAATAAAATCAAGTATGAACATCTAAAGCAACAAAGCACGAAACAGATGGCCTTACTCATCAGGTCAGGTTTTATATCTCTGGTGCCAAAGAGAAGTTAAGTGACTTAACTACCAGCTGTTCTGACTGGGTTTCCTGACCTTAGGGCATTACTTAACCACTATGATGACACAGTGAATTACAATGACCAAACGGACATATGGACAGACAGGGAGCTCTGCAGGGCTCCCAGCCTGTATGAAGGGCATTAAGAATCACTTCATATTAAGCAAAAGCAAAGCAGCTGCTGAGGTCAAAGAGCTCTGATAAATATGCAGAAAGCAGTGTGATACTATGAAGTAAAAGAAAGGGGAGGATGGGCTCCACGTAACAATTTGACTTTGTTCTAAAATGAAAATATTTGACTAATGGAGTTATTCTTCCCTCTACGTTCAGACCTGGTGATACCATGCACAATCGTCAATGAGAAACTATATAAACAGGACTGAAACAGATCTTTTGTCTCAAATCTCTAATCCCTTTAATAGCATTAACTGGTAGTCATCACAATATAACCTAAGTGATCATCTTTAGAAGATGAAATACTAGAATTTCTGTAGTTTCCTGCCCCAACTGAAAGAATTCTGAAAGCAAGCGAATATGCCCAAAGATACGTTATACCCTATATAGCATGGTAGAGATTTCAAGCAACAATTTTTAAATCAATTTCAGAACAATCACTTAGTGCAAGGGCTCAGAGAAACCGAGTTCAAAGTCTGGCTTTGCCATTTAGTATTGGGTTATATTTGGCAGTTGACTTATTTACTTCACTTAAAAAATAGAAATAACATCTATTTGATAGGATCGTTATGAGGTTTAAAATAGATAATTTATGTAACATAGCATACTGCAAGGCACAGAGAAAGCACTCAGTAGAAGGCCATTTATTTAATCAAAGGAGATTTGGTTAATTTAAATGATCACATGGCCATCATTTAAGATCCACAAGTCCTAGGAAGTCTGGAAAGAGAGCTCTCAAACAGACATATATAAAGAGAAGGAAATACCAAACCAAGGTGAGGAAAACACCTCAGCAGAAAAGACAAAGGCACTCCTAACAATGAACTTCATTCAGTGAAGGATAGGCTTCATATGAAGGAAGCTGCTCAAGAGTGAAAGTTCGGAGTGGGGTGGGAATAGCTCAAGTGGTAGAGCACATGCTTAGCATACATGAGGTCCTGTGTTCAATCCCCAGTACCTCCTCCAAAATAAGTAAATAAACCTCCCCCCACAAAAATAGGAAAGAAAAAAGTGAAAGTTTGGTAGCCAGGTCAATAGAAAATAAAGGAGGACTCTTTACAACTAAAGAACAAGTGACAATTAAATAGTTCACAAGGCTGAAAATACATAGGTATTCAGTAAAACAAAGACGAAGTGATTTTAAGATGATAGAAACTATACACTTCAATTAAAAAAAAACTAAGGAAATCTAAATGAAGTATGAACTTAATGATAATGTATCAGTATTGATTCCTTAATCACAACAAATGTACCACACTAATGTAAGACAGTAGCAACAGAGGAAACTGGATGCGGGCTATGTGGGAACGTTGTACTATTTTAAAAAGATGGTATAAACTGAAGGCTTCTATGAAGAAACCTTTTATTCTCTTCATAATGCATTAAAAATAAAAGATATATTTTATTTACTATTAGACATCTGAATGTCCAAGTAGCTTTGCCTCTAACTCAATGAATTTTGAGACTCTCAAATTTTCAGGTTAATGCATACTCCAATCTAGAGAAATTGGTAAAACAAAGATGCTTCATTACTAGTATTATACTACTTAATAGCCCATCTTTGTTCAAAAGGCCTCAAAGTCTCTGATCGTTCCAAGATTTTTTTTAATCATGCTATTTGGACATTTATAAAATAAATTTATAGAAATGTCTATTAAATCAGTCTCCCAACAGAAAGCAAAAAAGATAACAGAAACCAACATTTTATCATTTATACTTAATTATATTAGATGTGTAAGATGTTTTTATCTTGAAAATGGCATTTATATACAATATAGCAATCTCTGGATTGGACAACTTCTGCCACAAAGAGGGAAAACAAATATAAATAATTAGAGTTTTACCAAACCAGGTATTATTCATCAGTTTCCTATCATTCATTTAACAGATACTGATTTAGTGGGATTAACAATAAACAAAACAGAAAGAAACCCTTGCTTTCATGGAGCTTACTTTCTAATGGAAAAATAAACCTACTAGGGTATGTTTCAGGAACAAACTCTATTTTGATTGATTTGATCAAACACTTGATAACATCAAAACTAAATAGTATAGGTTTTACCTGATATAAATACATTCTAAATAACAGCTCTTTGTCTTGAAGGACCTCCACTTAGCCTACAGCTGAGGAAGAGATGATATTCTGGACTAGGCTGGTGGCAGTAAAGAGGAAACAGAATCAGCAGGTTTGCTGGTAGTTTGGCTGGAGAGGTGAAAAGGAGAAATGAAGAGTAAGTCCTAGTTCTCCAGCTTTGGCAGCTATATACATGGATGGCACTACCATTTTGAAAACAGAAAGACTGCCTTTTAAGAATCTCTTTTCTCTTTGGACTCAATAGGGTACTGACTTAGAGACAATGTGCATATTGGACCCTTTTTCAAATCCAGGTCAAAGTCCAAGTGCTCATTGTAGATACTACAGAGTAAGTACCACATTAAACATTAATTGCAGAGTCTTGCTACTCCCTACAAACATCAGACAGATGAATCGAATTCCTCAGCCAAGTACACTGGTTCTTAGAAACTTAAGTATATTTAAAATTTTTAAATTTTTATTATTATTATTTTTAATGGAGGTACTGGGGACTGAACCGAGGACCTCATGCATGCTAAGGATGCACTCTACCACTGAGCTATACCTCCCTACTAAGCATATTTTAAATTGCATAATCTCCACCCATGTCTAATTCCTCCCAATGCAGTAACAGCTTAAGTGATAAAATTCATGAGTTTGGACTTTAAAACATTTTTATGAGCTATATCACCTAGTTTAGCAAATTCAAAACAAAGAAATGATAGTGAGCTACAGTGACATAGTAAAGTGATACATAAAGTATCAGCAAGCTACAGTGATACCTTACAAATTTTAAAGTACAGCCACCATATTGGACAATGTAGATATTGAACATTTCTGTGTCACAGAAAGCTCTTTTAATGCTATTCTAGAGTCTCTAATATGGAAAACTATTAATGGGAAATCATGTATAACTCAAACAATAGCTCCTCCCAAGCCACTTGGATACCTTGTTGATTTCCAAAATACTCACTGAATTATCTAACAAGCCTGTTAGATATTTTAAAGCAGTCATATTCTATCATATAACAGAAGTTCATTCATTTAGATGAAATCAGACAGCAGCAGTCCTCAGGATTAAACTATCCATGTGCTACCTTTGTGGGGTACTTTTGGTAGAAGAGTAAATATGAGCTTTAATAGCACAGTACGAGTGTTGAATTGAAACAAGAGATGCTTTTGGCTTCACCCACATTATCCTGGTGACAAACCACTCTTAGTAATGGCTCACGACCTGTTTAATACCCTGTTGTGAAGACACCCACTAATGTTGAGCTCTGCTGAATTACATTTGCACATACCAGACAGGATGTTAACATGAGGTTGGCAAATGATCTACTCTCACTCCTACATTAAAGGCTTAGGAGGTTTTGAAAATGTACAGATCAAGGTGGGTTTTAGATGATTCACTTTGTTCCACATCAGTGGGGAAAAGACTAAGGTCATCTATCAGGACTGAGAAGATAAGGGAAATACCTTGAGCTAATTGTCTATTCTTACAGCGCTTATGCTTTGTTCCGAAAATATGGAGGTAAGAACCATGACATATATTTTTAAAAAATCAAACACACTGGTAAAGCTTTTAATCGCTTCTCTACCTATTGGAATCAGAACTTCCTTCATTAAAATGGAACTTTAGTACAGGGGGAAAAAGGCATTTGAAAGGGAGGGAATAAGATGAAGAAGAAGGGGAGGAGGAGGGGTGAGGGAGAGGAGGAGGAGAAGAAAATAAAGGCAATTTGAGATCCTACCATATATTGTACACTACCAGGTTCTTCCATGTACTTTCTTCCACTGATTCCTTACAACCTGAGAGATGGGTATTTTTATCCCCATTTTACAAATGAAGAAAGCTAGACCCAACAAGTCAAACTATCTTCTAAAATTTGCACACATGGTAAGAGGTAGAATCTACTAAGACAATGCTTCTCCAAGTGTGGCCTACAAACTGTTATTGGCATGCGAAGATATTACTCAAAAAAGTGATAATGGGGGGAAGGTATAGCTCAAGTGGTAGAGTACATGCTTAGCATTCATGAGGTCCTGGGTTCAATCCCCAGAACCTCGTTCAAAAATAAATATAAAATCTAATTATTTCCCACTCCACCCACCCAAATTAAAAATAAAAAGTGAGAATAAAGGTTTGGAAACTTTTCTATCAATTTGACATAGTCAAGAATTTTTATTGTGTTTTACAAAAGTTTTGGTCTACCATGGATGGACAATTTAAAAATCCAGTCGCCCACCACAATAGTGTGAGAAGCACTACACTAGACTATAAGCATCCTTAACATATGTTCCATACATGATTTGATCAAATAGTACAGTAAAGTTCAACACAGCATTTTTTGCCTTATGAGTTTACTAGTTCACGTGCAGATGCTTAAATTTCCTTGGAAATGTCCTATTTCTATTTAAACATGTCAATCAGAACACCTATCAAATAGGTATAAGCTGCTTGTCCTACAGATGTGTTCTGAGTTTTCCAGAAAACAGCAGTTTAGTGTTTTCTTTTCCCCTTACAATTGCTTATACAATAGAGAAGCTTGGGGCATAGCAGCGAAAGTTCATGGAGTTTATTTGAAAAGTCATTTATTTATTAAGTTCATTGTAACTTACTTGAAGTGACAGTATGCTTGCCACCAGTTCTATTTGAGTGACCAAATACTGCTATATTTTTTTAAATGAATTTATAAAGGGAACTTACCAATATAGTCAAGAGTTATGTAACAAACAAACAAACAAACAAACAAAAACAAAGTGTAAATACAGGACAGAAATAGACTCATAGACAGAATACAGACTTGTGGTTGCCAGGGGGTCGGAGGGTGGGAAGGGATAGACTGGGATTTCAAAATTGTAGAATAGAAAAACAAGATTATACTGTATAGAACAGGGAAATATACACAAAATGTTATAACTCACAGAGAAACAAATGTGACACAATGAGTGTGTATATGTCCATGAATGACTAAAAAATTGTGCTGAACACTGGAATTTGACACAACATTGTAAAATGATTATAAATCAATAAAAAAACGTTAAAAAAAGAGTTATGTCAGAAACTACTCATGGGAGAAAAATTTCTCAAAACAAAATTAGCAATCTTAAGAATTTTTTTTTAATGTTTCCAAAGCTAGAGATTTTTCACACAGGAATTAGGCTTCCATGTGTCCACTGGACCAAGTTTAAAGCACAGGGGGATCATTCTGTGAATGTGAAACACCTTTAAGTATAACACACTTTTCATGTTTATAAATATCTTTTAAAAAGAAAAGTAAAATAATGATACTCTGTGCAGAGACATGGGTATGCATTTTGTAAACCTACTGTTTCTCAGCAATTCAATTTAAAGATGATGTTAATAATTACCATCTAAGTAGACTTCTTAGATGGCAGTTCAATTCACTTCCATTTCCTTTTTCATTGTTTCCTCTACTTTAACTTCTTCTTTTGTTGAGTCTTAATATCTTGCCAAAATATAATTAAAATAAAGTAACACTAAAAGCACTTTAACTGCCAATGAGTAATGAAACTTGTGAAAACTTGCAGGTACAAAGGAGTGGATGAGAAAAATGAGTATGCAGTCAGCCACATATCATAATTGTTTCCCAACATGTTCGTTCAAGTTGACAATTATCAAAATTGAAAATAGAACTCTAAAAAGTTAGGTGTTAAAATCTCTATTTTAAGTATCTTTCTAGGAGCTTATTCAGACAGAAGAACAATTTTGAACACTGATCATGACATTCTTTATAAACTGCTGGTACAAAATTCTACTGTAGCACACATCTTCTGCAAATGCCCAAGAAGAAATATCATCCTTTTAAAACCTCTTTATTATAAAGACAGAAAGTTTAAAGATTTTGGAGATACAGACATAAAAAGGCCCTGTTTTCAGAAATCATCTGGGTATACTACACATACATGAGAGACATACATTTTAGAAAACTCTATTCACATATATGTGTGAATTAAAAAATATAACCATGTATTAGAAACCACAAACATGTATATACATGTTAATAGAAGTAAATTTAAGTTAATTATGGTAAAAATACTGGGGAATAGTGAAAGATATAAAAGAGGATGGTTTTAGACTTCAAGAAAATTTTAGCAGATACTTACAATATGCAGAAGCTTTAACACATCCACAAACCTGTAAAAAACAGCAAAGAAAGACATGTTTTAAATGAGCCAATGGGGAAGCGAATAGCCTTCTGAATTCTAAACTAGATACCTACACTTTCTCTGAGCTCATGATCTCCTTGGCAATATGATGGACTTTACTTTTCATTCCAGTATCTTCATCCTGTGGAGTGCATTAAGAAAACATGAACTCATAAAAGGATAATGAAGATCAGCCTGGAGCTAGTCAGATACACATTCAAACTCTGATACTTAATAGGTTTTGATTAGAATACATTTCCTACTATACAATGTCTCAAATGGCAAACCTGGAGAAGTGATGGCGATTATTAAACCATGATACAGGGGTTGCTGAGAGCAATGAGTAATCATCATCATCAGTGCTGGACTGATGGACTGCCCTGCAGTACCCCAGAGCCCTGTGGAGCACACTGTCAATAGTTCACAACTGAAGTGACACTCTACAGATATCACATGAGCATGAGTTCTTGGGGTGCACACGAGTAATTTAAGATTAGTGAATATTCAATAGGCAAGTATAAAAGAACTTCACCCTCAGGAAAGCCACTCTGAATCAAACAACTTAAATGCCATCTGAAAAGGGCTCTTCACAGTCTATACCATACATATGCTAAGATTATAGCCACAGGCACTCTCAATTTACTTACAATCCTTTTTAGAAATACACTTGTACAGTCAAGGCAGTTTTACTCTAAAGAGCTGAAAAAAAATTCTTTTAATATGTATTGCTTTGTGTGAAAATCAAATGCTCTAGGCAGGGACAAAACGTACACTTTTGGAAAAAAAAAAAGAGGTGATTAGGAATGAGCCTCAATATTTAGGTAAGATTACTATTGTAGTTGTTTTCATTTAAATACTGACAGAGCTGGCTTTGACTCCAGGGCATTACAGGAAAGGAGCTTCTCTCCATTTCTATTCTGGTGAAAGATCTGAACACTACAGTTCCAGAGTGAAGGGCAAGAGAGTAAACAAGGAACAAGCAGTTACAAAATTTTAGTTATTACATGTAAGGTGAAAATTATGACTACTGCCATTAAAAATGCTCTGTTGTTTCTGTTGAAGAAATGCCAGATCTGGTTTTAGAAAGAGAGGTCCCTGTACATTCACACCGACACTGGCAGTGCCAGGACCCA